GACTAGGCTAGACTAGGCTAGACTAGGCTAGACTAGGCTAGACTAGACTAGGCTAGACTAGGCTAGACTAGAGTGGAGTTACAGAAATAAAACACAAGGCCAGAATAGTGGGTCACGTGTGGTATGATTTCCTGAAGATTGATTTATGCTTCACAAATGTGTCTTTCACAAAATTCTGAGTATATATGTAGTAATTTCAAACCATGTCACAAAGCGCGAGATGCAAATGAAAACGATGAAATACTACACCGGATTTGAATTCATATTCGTTATTTATTTTATTAGATATTTCCTGAATTGCCATCAAAGTCTGTACTGCGCCCTCAACGAAGATTGTACACATAAACGAATGCAACTACCGCTGGCCGGCGCGATACTTCCCAAATGTTATCTTTCGGGTTAATTTTCCTTAATCCTAATGCAGTTGTTATTTTATTATCAACAACAAATAAACTTCGATTATTGCATTACTTTCCAGTGATCGCATCCGTACCACTGTCAACGTATTTGGTGATTCAGTTGGAGCCGGCATAATAAATAGGTATACTTTGAGGGACTTTGAGAAACAAGAAGAAGAACAATTCCATGGTGTTGACGCAATTGAAATGGGAGAAGGAAGATACACCGCTGACAATGAAGGATTTACGAAAGACGAATTAATGAATCCATTGTAGGAATGAAGCCAGTCACCAAATTCAAATATGAATCTCGTAACCCTAAAACACTATTGTTTTATATGAACTATTTATAACCTTTTTTAATATTGTTTTTTTTTTCTTGTTTTTTTTTCTTGTTTTTTTTTTATATATAATCCTATACATTTACAGTTTTTAATAATTTTGTATTCAGTAAACTCTTGCTCCAAACGCTTAACCGATTTCGTCATATGGTATCATGGCAACTAACAACATGGAAGAATCTTCGAACATAGATTTGCTTCTTTGTCGATAGTTTAAGCAGAAATCTTCCCTGTCAAACAATGTAAAAACATGGGATACTTAAACCCTAATTGTCATTCACATTGGAAAGCATCAATTAGGAAGTAAATGTCAATTGCGAATGTCTCGTTCATATCATCTCCGCCAGCCTAAGGTTCGTTTATGCTGCCATCACCCCAAACTATAGAGGGCCATGGATGACCGGCTTCTGCGAAACCGTGCGAATCAGACGATGTGTTCCAATCAAAATGCCATTATATTGTTATGACTACAAATAGTTATATATGCGTCGTGATATCAATACTGTGTTCGTGGATTCTGTGACAAAAACATTACTTAGGTTTTTGAACTTAGTGTGTAGGTGGCTTAAAAAGTTGACCAAATGTCTGTGGCCGGAAATTAAAGTTCACTTTTAATTCAATGCAGGGTGACGTATGGGTTGACTCGAGGGTTGACTCGACGTAAAATCTAAGCCGGGCGAAGTTACGTCTAGTTTATCTGGGCGGAAAGTCCAGATGGACGGCCATACGTTATACTTCACTTTGACATGACAGTATTATGTTGATTATTGAGACATTGTGCCATGTAAAAAGTTTCAATTGTGAACACTCTTCTCGTTATGCTTACTATTATGTTTTTTTAAATGATAATTTTGTTTTCTTTCCATTGAAGTTCAATTTCATTTTGTAGGAAGTGTTGTTTTTTTAATAACCTGAACTACCGTAGGGTAATATTTGCTATACCATGTACACGACTGTGTAACTTGCTAAATAACATGGCCGTATGTTTCATCGTTATACCTTATAATATAACAATCTGAAAATTCAAGTGTGTATAATTCCTATGGCTGTATCAATCTCTCAAATAGCATTTCTACAAAGTGGCGAACTTTCGCTTACAAAGTGGTGAACATTCGCTAACTCCTAATTTATAGCCTGTAACTTGATTTAAAATTCGTATATCCACACTACTGACATTCCGTGCTGTATGCCTCCACGTCCCTGGCCTTTGGGCTCGTACTTTGCCCTCCGAATAGCACAAATAACCAGGGGACAAAAGTACGAGTTTATTGCACCCATAAACACACAAGACTGGGGTCGATTTATACACACAATATCAATTACTGTGACAATCTATAAAGTAATATAGCAATGTATAGTTTCGATCGCAGACTGACTCCAAATCATCGAAAAAATGTTTCAAAACAATTGTTCGAGAGCAGGGGAAAC